CTGAATCGAGGTGTTGGTCTGTGTGACTCCCTAGAGGGGGACAGAGGCAAGACAGCTGTTTCTTTGGGCCCACCCAGCCCAGGCAGAGGAAAGCTGGCCTGGCAGGCTGTGAATACGGCTCTCTCTCAGCCAAAGGGGTAAGGTTTTTATCCGAGACCAAAGAAAACCACAAAGAGCAAAAATTGAGTCTTTGCGAGAGAGACAACAGAGGGTGTCTCCTGCTTTTTAAGATCCTTCCTCTCAAATCCCTTCACACCCCAGCCACACATCTTACATTTAACAGTCCAGAAAACAAGATTATGGCAACAAACACCAAAACTAAACAGCTCTGCCTGTGCCCTTATCACAGCTAACATTGTACATCAAATCAGCAGACGACACCAACATTGAATGGTGACATAACTAATTAAATGAGATCAGAGCTCTGAGGGCTGCCGGCAGCTGGAGAAAATGTCAGAGTGAATAAATGTAACGCCCTGGCCCCGGGAGGGGAAATCAACTGCTGAGGGAGAACATGGAGGGGGTGGCTTTAAACCAAGGTCACTTTCGTTTTGTTTTATCGGCCTAGTGGATGGACCGGTGGAGCGGGATGCAGGAAACCACGGTTCTTTCCCAGCTACCGCACTGACCACCTGGGTGATGCCGGGCAAGTCATTTTCTTGCTTCGTGCCTCTGTTTCCTCATGTGTAAAACAGGGATAACGATACTGACCATTGTAAAGCACTTTGAGATCTAGGGGTGAAAAGCTCCAGGTAAAATCCAAAGATTTTTACTTATTTCAGACCTAGCATCAGTAAGCAGTTTAGCACTGTTGCAAAAAAACAAACAAACAACAAAAAACCCCAATCCTAACATTGTGCTGGGCTGCATTAGCAGGAGTGTCGTAAGCAAGACATAAGAAGTAATTCTGCCACTCTACTCCATGCAGATATGGCCTCAGCTGGAGTATTGTGTTCAATTCCGGGCGCCACATTTCAGGAAAGATGTGGACAAATTGGAGAGAGTCCAGAGAAGAGCAACAAAAATGATGAAAGGTCTGGAAAACATGACCTATGAGGGAAGATTGAAAGAACTGGGTTTGTTTAGTCTGGAAAAGAGAAGACTGAGAGGGGACATGATAACAGTTTTCAAGTACCTAAAAGGTTATCACAAGGAGGAGGGAGAACAATTGTTCTCCTTTACCTCTGAGGATAGGAGAAGCAGCAATGGGCTTAAATGGCAGAAAGGGCGGTTTAGGTTGGACATTAGGAAAAACTTACTGTCAGGGTGGTTAAGCACTGGAATAAATTGCCTAGGGAGGTTGTGGAATCTCCATCATTGGAGATTTTTAAGAGCAGGTTAGACAAACACCTGTCAGGGATGTTATAAAAGGTGCTGGTCCTGCTGTGAGTGCAGGGGACTGGACTAGATGGACCGCTCAAGGTCCCTTCCAATACTATGATTCTACGATTCTATGATTAATGGTTCATGTAACCAAGTGTGGAAGTGCTGAACTGGGGACTGGGTGGGGACCGAATACATCAGTTTTCAAAAAGGAAAATATTTGAGAACCACTGGGCTGTTCTCTCAGCCACTTCTTCTAAAGGAAAGATGGTCCATCTCCATTAGCCCATGTCATTCTCTGTTAGCACCGTGAAATGTCTCTGTTGCAAATGTAACCTTCTTACCTGAAGGATTCAGGGCTAAATTCTGATCTCACTGCTCTGGTGTAAATCCGAAGTGACCCCACTGCAGTCAATGGAGTCGGGGTTGGATCCTGGTCTCAGTGACCGTGGTGTCAATCCACAGTGACTCCAGAACTAGTTAGTCTGGGTTTACACTGGTTTAAATGAGAGCAGAGTCTTTGCCCTGCTTTCTGAAATAATACATTTAAATTCACTCTCTGAGCATCCCGAATCTCAATGCTCATTCTCGCTCATTCTTCCCCAAACTCAACCACGGAAGCTTTTTTTCATCCCTTCTATGACAAAGTGCGGAAAATTTGTAATATTTTCATGATTCCTATGTGTGCCTCAGTTTTCCTCTGAACTTTGCATTGCCACCTACGTGTCGGGCAGGAGGGGAATTAACATTGCTCCTGGAAAAGTGCAGGAGACACAGATGTGTGTGTCATCTCGCTGCCTGGCTGGAATGAATTGCGTCCTTAATGCACTGGCTGAAACCAACCCAGATCAACAGAAGGTTCAGACAGAAGTCCCAAGGACTGAACCATCAATGCCTAAGAGCAGGAAACTTCATTAGGTGAGACATGTAAACAGAGCTGAAGAACAAAAGGGAAAATGGTGCTGGGTGGCTGGAATAGAGACTTCCCTATGCAGGGACTGAGAAGCTCTCCCCTGGGGAGGACAAAGGGACAGAGAGAGAGAGCCAGAGATGAAATCCATTGCAGCTTGGCTGGTTCATAGCACTGGCTTGGCCAGGATGGATGATGGTGTAACTTTTGCTTCTTTGCCAACCCAAGGACATTCAGAGTCTGTAGGCAGGTTACCTTGTTCTGAAAAGGCTGCCTGCATCACTGCAAATTCTCCCTGAGTGCATTGTACCCTTGGAGGAGGGGTACAGAACAAGCCACCCACAGGGGTCTGGCTTGGCTGGATTTGTGGCAGGGACCCATGGATCACTGGTGCCCGAAGACCCAGTCTTGGGGTCCATGGACCGCTGTGGCACTATGTGAACCCTGGGGGGTTTGGGACGCTGAAGGGGCACAGACTAGACCCTGTGAATCCGTGCCAGCCTCCACCTACCCCATTATTCTAGAGACACACGGCAGGAAACATTGACACCTACAGCGTTAACTTGTTCCCACCCCAAGTCTGTAAATAATAAACTAAACTAAGCCTTAAGGATACCCTGACAAAACTATTCTCTGCTTGTCTTTCTGTGCTAGGGCTACAATTAGCTATGAAGTGGCTTGGGAGACATTTACATGGACACAGTACAAAGTTTAAAATATACTATACGGATCAACTAATAAACAGTCATGTACTGGGCTAGGCCCAAGGCCCAGATTTGGTCCTGTCCAGCATGGGGGATGGACCACATGACCCAGCAAGGTCCCTTCTACTCCTACATTTCTATGACTCTATATTACACAAACTAGTGCCTCTGTGCTGGACCCTATCTCTGTACACTCGTCTCCAGTCAGAAACCGGGAGATGTAGCTGAAAACCCCAATCTTAGCACCAAAGTAGGAAGTAAGAGCACACTCACTGTGGGGTTGAGATGAAGGAGGTAAGCGGGCTCCCGGGATGTTTAAATCAGCATAGACGACCTCCCCCGCCATGGCGTGTACAGTCCGAGAAGAGAGCACACCAGTAAGCAAGCTGTGAAGAAGGAGAACCACCTATTATGCATAAAACAAAATGAACAACACATCCAAAGCCAGGAAGTGTTATCAATCAGAAGCCGTTGAATTTCTTTCTTATCACCACTCTGTGGATTTCCTTCGCTGTTTAACGCTAAGGACTGAACCGATAGCGTAGTTTTAATCAAGGCATTTGCACTTGCAGAGCTGGGAGGCATTGAATTGATTGGCTTCCAGACGCCCCCATGCTTTCCTGTAAACAGCAGCTCTGCGAGCTAGAGGGGGCCCAACATTTTTTGCTGCATAAAAATTGAGAAAGAGCGTGGAAATGAAATTACAACGGGTATTTCCCAGACCTGCTGGGAGCAGCCCAATCCAGACCTGTCCCCTCTCCCTCTCCAACAGATTTGGGATAGTCAAGCTCTTGTACTGATGCTCCCTGTGAAAAGAGACGGCGTTGGGTAGATGGCACATCACGGCTGATTTCTTTTTTCCTGTCTCTGTCCCAGAGGCTGTCATGCTGCATTTTGCTATGGGGGAGTTTAACTTCAGACTCAGGGATTTGTGCACAAGTTCCACAGATCAAAGGGGTAGCCGTGTTAGTCTGGATCTGTAAAAGCAGCAAAGAGTCCTGTGGCACCTTATAGACTAACAGACGTATTGGAGCATGAGCTTTTGTGGGTGAATACCCCCTTCTTGGGATGCATAGTTCCATAAAGTTCCCAATGCACAGGGACCAGGCCCGCAGGTATAGAGTTGGAGTGTATGTAGGCTACCTTGCACAAGCTCTGAAAACCTTAGTGAGCAAGGATGCTCTTGTGGATAAGGTACAACTTGTGAGCTGAGGGTTCAAATCCCAGCTCTGTGACACAGACTCACTAAGGGACTTTGGGCAAATCTCTGGGCCTCAGTCCTTCATTTCTCCTTCCCATTTAGATTGGAAGCTTTTTGGGGCACAGGCTGTCTCTTACTATGTATTTGTACAGTGTGTGTTGTCAGATATTTGGCTGTGTGTGTGTGTGTGTGTTCTCTCTGTGTGCCATCCCAGCTCTGCGCAGACAGCTGACACAGAAGACCTCGAGCGAACCGCCCAATGACCACAAGATCCGTTAAGGTACGAAGGCACCCGGCCTGGTTTATTGTCCATGAAGCACTGTATAGGTGTCTTATACTTGCTACAAGTATACTCAATGCGTGTATGCCCATGACAATAGATGCAGCTCAATTAGTGTCCGGACTTTTCACTAGCCCTTCGGCTGGCCAAAGACACTCTCTTTGAGACTCCATTTTGGTATCAAGGTGTTCTGGTACCACCCTTCTGGAATGTTCTTTCATGAATGCATTGTGCCTAGTACCTCTCAGGAATGTGTGTTTCTGCACTATCAGCCCTGTTCTTGCCAGATTCTGTGAGCAGGGCCTGCCTCTTGCTCACAACCTTACTTTACTTTATATCATCAAAGCTTGGACCACTACTTTAGCCCAGGCCTCAGGCCTCATACCAGGCCTCTGATTCAAAGGTTTATGTTTCAGGCCCTCTTCCTACACAGTGTGCAGCGCAATGGAGGCCTGATTTCAGTTGTGTTCTGTAGATGCTACCAAAATGCACACAAACAATGTTGAGTGGCTGGTTGTTTACAGATATATGTATATATATATATATATATACGCGCTGCGGAAGTTGAATTTTTGTTCCATTGCAACAAACTCAGCCCCCATCTCTGCTTAGCTGCTACCCAGA